TCTTCTGCCCTCTCCGGAGGCATCAATCACCATGTCTCGCATACAGTAGGGCCTGAAGATAGTCTGACAATTTTATGAGAACTGCATTTCTTCTGCCTCTCCCAATCCCCAGCCACCCACCTCCCCCAGGTGAATGAGATTTAAACGTGGATTTAAGATCCGACCACATCACATGTTCTCGGACCTCTTTTTGTCCTGGAGAGACAGAGTATAAAATGTTTTATTATTAGGAAATAATGTATTGCCCAAACAGAGAAACTGGAGGCTCTAAGTACTGAAAAGCTTACAGAACCCTCCCATTCTTCCTCTTCCTCTTCCTCTTCACAAGTAACTCAGGAAGCGGGCGCCTCTCCAGATACCAATCCCGCCAACATCTTGATCTCAGACTTCTAGCCTCCAGCACTGTGAGTTTCTGTTGTCTAAGTCACCATGGCAGTCTTAGCAGACTAGATACAAGGGCCGTGTTTGCTCCGTGTTAAATACTTCTTTGCTTAAAGTATCTGCAGTGGCTTCTCTTATCTTGAGTGTTACAGTAGCATTTTTCAATCCATGATGGGCTACACATTAAAAGTTTGTGAAATCAATTTCATGGGTCTTGCTCTGGATTTTTTTTTGAAATGAATAAAGAAATTACTTGAACAGAACAGAAAGGATAGGATAGGATAGTAACAGAATAGAAAAAAAAAAACACAAATATTTTCAGAGTGCATCAAGCATAGCAAGTTTTGTGCATCTTCAGCTTCATTCATATATTACATAGATATGTGTACCAGGTCACAACATAAAACTTATGTTTTGCAGTGAGTTATGGTCCAAAATGTTTGAAAGATCTGTGACGAGGCCCCACTATCCTGCATGACCCCCGAGGGCTGTTCCACAAGGATTCAGGGTGCTTTAGTGGCTCTGCCCAAGAGGGCTCCTGCAGGAAGGGGCAGGGCTGAGAAGAGCCAGGTGGGTGCAGATGGTCTACCCACCTCCACTCTCCAGCTGAGACCCAGGAAGCCAATGGAGGCAGGGTGGGGCCACTCACTTGCCAAGGAAGCACTTGGGGATGGTGCTCAGCTTTCTCCGGCGGTCCTTGATCAGGTTCACCTTCTTGTTCATCATCATGTGGTAAAGCTTCTCCCCCTTCTCTGCAATCATGACGTAGGCATCCCGCTCCATGCCCAGCTTCAGGCCTATGGAGGGGGACATGGTCAGCACCAGGGACAGCACCAGTGCTGGGAATCACAGGGGTAGGCCTCCAGCTACCCAAAGCTGTCCACTCTCTGCCCCCCACTACTGCCACAGCCAGTGGTCATCTATAGAGCACTCCCTGCATGTCAGTCACTGTCCTAGGCACCTGCCAGTGATGCCTCAAAAGAACCCTGTAGGAGAGGGTGGCTAATTTCCCCCATTTTACAGACGGGAAAGCTGAGGCCCAGAGAGATTAAGTCTCACAGTAATAAGCAGTCAAGCTTACTCGAGCCTTCAACCTGAGGATGGGTTTCCAAATTTAGAGGTTATCAGAAAGCCCGTGGAGATCTTCCCTCCAGCCAGGATGTGAATCTGCCCTCTTCTCTAGATAATACGCACAGGACCCCGACCACTGCCCTACATTTTCTACATGGGCCCCATCCACTCCTGACAATAATAGCAATGACAAACAATCTTAGCAAATGCTACACATGCCTCCTATATGCCACTTAATCCTTAGGAGACCTAAAAGTCAAGTAGCACTATCCTCATTTTACAGATGAAGAAACTGGGGCCCAGAGAAATTGAATTCTCTGTCCAAGGTTGCCCAACTAGAAGCAGTAGTGGCAGGATTTAGACCAAGGAAGTTTGGCTCCAGATCTGTGCTCTTAACCAAAACAAGCGCCACCCCTATAAACATAGGCCTGAGGTCAGGGTTTGGATAACACTCCCATTATAACGACCAAGGCCACACCCCACATGCCCTGCAGTGACCACAGCCCTGCATCCTAACCACAATGATACTTATCAGCCACACCCGGCTGAAGCCACACCCCTGAACCCCACCCCTAGTCCTGATGTACACCCAGCCCTGATCAGTTTCAGAAGTCACACGCTTGCCCAACAAGGGGCCAAGTTCAGTAGTTCATCTGCGCTAATGGCATTTTAATCAATTTTGATGCAATATTTAAAATCAGGAAATATCACCTTAAAATCCAGATGTCAAGCTTTCCTAGAAAAAAAATCAGTGGATCAAGCCACTCTAGGCCCACATTCCTGAGAAATTATGGTGACTTGGGTAGAATTAGAAAGAAAAGTGGTTGAATTTGACACATGTATGGAAAGAAAGCATAATTAAAGAGACTCGATCGACTGAATTCAGGGAGCTGGTAGAAATCAGAGATGACACCACAAGTTTGAATTTGAGATCATGGACGAATTAAGAAGCCACTTACTGAGACTGGGAAGTCAAAGGGATGAGCAGGCATGGAGCAGAACACCTAACAGAAATTCGGAGTTCTGATTAGATATGGTTAGATGTGAGATGTCTATGGCACGTCCAAGTGGTGATTCCAAGTAACGGGAGTAAACTGGGCCTTAGTTTCCCCCTCTGTAAACCAGGAGGTCAGAGGGTTTTTATGGTCATGTGTCAAACTAGCCAAGTGGGGCCAAATCTAAACCTCACTTAGCAGCCTTACAACGCACTGCAGCAGGAACTTCTATCCCCACTTATCAGATGACATCACTGAGGTCTGGGCAGCCGAAGTAACTGCCCCAAACACACCAAGCTTCCCTTTTCCCAGCCTGCTGGTCTCTGCATAACAGTCTAGTGCCCACCCCAGGTGAAAAAGGACTAGAACCATGGAGGAGTAAAGGGCACGTAAGGAGCATCTCGCTACCAAATCTCAGGGGTGAAGGGCTCCAAGAATCCCAGGATGACCAACCACATCGGCATGATCTTGGGCAAGTCCCTTCTTTTGGGCCTCAGTTTCACCATCTGCCTAGCAGAGCTCAGGGGAGCCAAGATACCATCAAGTTGTAACACAGTCCCAGAGCTCCCCACCCCTTCAAAGACCTGCTTCTTACAGTTCTGACCTTTCTGGAAAGGATGCTATGCCTCTTCCCTAGGCACAGCCCTCACTCTGCAGAAGTAACCAGCTTGAGGAAAGCCATGCACACCCCCCAGGAATCCTGGAAAAGACCCCTAAAGCCATCACTTTTCAGAGGGCCAGGAGAGGGCCCAGCCACTCACTCTCGCGCTGTTCCCGCTCGCGGATGATGGCATCCAGCCACTTCTGCTTCTCCTCTGCCGTCTTGGCCATGCAGACAAACCACTTGTTCTTGGCTGTGTTGTGGATCTTCCAGCCATTGGTGACGGTGTAGCCATGGCTGTGGTAATCCGCTGGCAGGGGCAGGAGAAAAAGGTGGGTCAGCACGGACTCATCCACACGACTCTGAACATTCCCCACTACATGCCCCTGAGTGAGGTGACTGACCAGCCCTTCTGGCTCCGGAAAGACAGAACACAGGGGCATCGGCAGAATCAGGATTTGGGAGTTGAGCTTTCAACCCTTCTGGTGCTCACTCCCTCTCCTGGCTATTCTCTGGTGGGAGAAGAAGATCTGCAAACAAAGACCCCTCCCAAACCCTCCATGACAGGGGCTTCAGGATATAGATTTTGGGCACGAAGGCAAAAGTGATTCCCAAGGAGGCACCTGCCCAGGAGCCCAGGAAT